AATTAATTTAAAAAAAAATTTGTTAAATTTGATTAAGTTTTTGTTAAGTTACCCTTGTTAAAGTTTTTAAAAAACTTATTAAAAAAAATTTGCTTGGTTTCTATTGACTCAACCCCATATATCACATGATTTATTTTTGGTCCAATAATGAATGGTCCAATCCAATTTCGCTTAATGGACAGTATACAATTGGACTAGTCCAGTTCAATAGCAACCCTGAATATGAGAATAATTCCGGCTGATTTATCTCCGAAGCTAATATATCGCAAAACTATGTGTCAACCTGTGGGTCAACTCACAGGTCACCCGCCCGGTTTCTCCTGGGTTGCCATAACTTAACCCAGGTCACCCGGGCGGGTCAAATCACTAATCTCAAGCCTATATTGCTAAAACTTGCTAGTTTCTTTTAATTTAAAAACTTAGAACTTACAGTAATATCTTGATTTGATAATTTGCAAATAATTCTATTTTGATAAAGTATTTAGACATGTTTTGTAATATTATTACTTCTAGTACTAGATATAGTTAGTTATATAGCATTATATAGCTTACAGTAATTCCTGGGACACCTGATAAAATTTAGCCGCATGATTTTTCGGCCGATCCGATTAAGGCATTGAGGGTCCAATTTAATATTGATATTGATATGAGTGCCGTCAAAGGAAAACCTACAATCGGGCTTTCAAGTATATTTTGTGTACAGTTGGTTGTGTGCCGTCTATGGTAAATCTATGTCCGATGATAGATTTACCATAGACGGCACACAGATAACCAACTGTACACAAAATATACTTGAAAGCCAGATTGTAGGTTTTCCTTTGACGGCACTCATATAATAATTATGATATCTACGTCACAAATTAAATTACCGATTTCGAAAATTATCTCCCATATTTAATTGATATTAAACATATCAATATCATATTTTTATGTAATAAAATTCTTACTAAAACATATTCAATAAAATTTTCATAATCAATAAAATTAATAGAACCTTCTTGAATACAATGGTGAATCGTCTTTCTCGAACAAAAAATGTATTTTTTTGAGCACGCATTCCTGAAAAATTCTAGCCATAGCGTCGTGATAGCGTTCTTCTGTCATAGGCAGTTTCATCTAAAAAAACAAACTTACTCACTTGGTGTATACTGAGAGATTCATTTCTTTTGCGAGTTTTAATATCTATAGAATAAAATTGGTATAAATTTTATAAAATAAAAAATATTTATAAATATACGAAATATAACCTTTTGTGTGTATATTTAAGTCAGTATATAACCCAACCAAAAGTTTTAAGATATTTTACATCGTTCATGTTTAGAGAAGGTGGTTTTCTTGAAGTTGAGTGTTTTGCAAATTTTCGAATTGATAGGCCTTTTAAATTTTTTTCGATAATTTGCCAGCGAATGTGCTTTGAAAGTATCATATTTTTTGAATTCAACAATAAGCATAATCTTACTGTATATAGTTAAATTACGTATACGTATTATAACAATTTTTATTGAATTTATTATGCCGAAATAATAACTTAACCGGATCGGCCGAAAAATCATTCGGTTAATTTTTTATCAGGTGTCCCAGGAATTATGAAAGCAGCTGTAAGTTACTCTATATATTGTAAATGTCCGGATACAAGACCCGAGTCTTGTATGAAAAGTTTATATTTTTTTTTCCTATTTGTGTCTTACATTTTACCAAAACTTTATCCTATATTGTAGAACCGGGTATAGTACATAATGGATCTACTACTTGGGGATCTTGTATCGGCCATTTGTACTTATAGTTCCAAATCATTATAGCATCTAAAAAAACTCTCATATAAGGAGCTTTGTTGGATCTTAACATATATAATTCTTCATGGATCTACTTTTTTAAAAAAAAATAGTTCTATATTTATACTAGAAATGTTTTAAATATAATAAGGTTAATTTTTTATTACTATATACGGTATATTAATAAAGACAAGAGGCACTATCTCACTTTAAAAAAAAAACAAACTCTATATTGCCTATATAGCTTAAAGCCATTTGACGTAATATACAATTTTGAGTTTTTTATTTGTAAACTAATTATTAATACGTATAACCTTTTTGACTTGTTATATTAATATAGAAGTAATTGTTCGAAAAACATGAAGACAAAGGAAGTTTGTTTGTGTTTGCAAATTACAGATTTTGATTGGTTTGTTTATAGTGGATCATTTTGATTGGTACTAAAGCTTTTTATTTCTTAGTGATTACTTAAAGTAATTGCTTAGTGCACCAATAAAGCAGTTTACCTCTTTGTAAACAATTGATTTAAGAATTGCAAGCTTGATACGAACAAAAAGAAGATACTCGTTCTAAGACTGTCAGATACTGTTTTAGGCGTGCGCAAAAAGTACAAAACATGAGTTGGGCAGTATGGTTTAATGGAATGGACGTACGTACGTACGTGCGTTCTGACACTTTTGTGCACGCAAACTCGAATTCTCGACCTAAACTAGTCTTTTGTACTGCAAATGACTGTGCCTATGGTATTAATACCTGGCACAGCATTCGTAGATCCTTAATTTGTAATATAAAACTTTGCTAGCATATATCTTTGATTCCCTTAATTTATTTTAATGTCACCATTCTATGTGACACAATATGTACATCCATTTTAGGTCATATCGGTCATATTCAACAATATGGTCATATCCAACTTTATATGGTCATAACGTATTAAAAAATTTTTACAAGTCAATAACAGGTCACAAGTTCATACTCTATAATTGGCATATATTAGATGTAGGAAGATGGTGTTTGAATTTAATTCAAAAATCATACAGTATATTAAAAGACAATAACGTCCTAACTGATTCCAATTGAATGCCAGATGATGCATTGACTTAATAATAACAATAATGAAAAACTACTATTATCAAAGCAAAGTTGCTTACGATCAATTCTGATTACTCGTTTATATGCAATAAGAATAATCAAAAATCCTGTTGGTAACACGCTTCTTACGTAGAAACGATTGACATCAATTTTTTTTTTTTTTTATTAATTATAATCATACAAATGAAGCAGGTTACTCACCCTGCAGATTCAGTACGATTATGCAAAGTCGAATTCTGCATTTCATGAACAATGTGGAGACGGCCGTAATGCTATATCATCTAATAAAGACAAAAAAAAATGGACAACAGATATTTTTTCTTGAATTTTTTTTTAGAGGGGACCATGATTGAGATTTTCCAAATTTAGTATATATATTTAGCTTTTTTGGTTTTGATTTTGAAACAGGTTTCAAATAAAGTTAGTTTCATTTTCAGGAGACAATTTCAACGAGGAATGAAATCATGCTGATAACCACGTTAATTGTATATGCTATATTTAGTTACAAGAATAAAACTTTGATAAAGCTTTGTAACTGCACTGCGTTATACAGTATCTCTTTACTTTCTGTACTTATGGCGTGAATATCGATATACATTAAGTGTATATATATATTGTAAAATAATAAATTGATTAACGTTAATATAATATTAATAGTGTTAATAGTAATAAATATCGCGGTTAAACATGTTTAAACTAGATTTAGTCGATGAATTAATTTTAAAAAATCATTATATGATAATCCAATAAAAGTGTATACGTATGTTTTACTATTTCTGATCAATGATGAATAACAACAATTAACAGGTTTAATTCAGGAGATATAAACTCGCAAAGAAATTCTTGAAACATTCGAATATAGGTTACTTGAACCATATCGAGATTTATTATATCATGTGTATACTGTACAGTACAGTACATGTATGCTTGTTATATCAATAAGTGAGAGAAAATGCTAACTCAACAAAAATTAATTTCTTTGCTTTCTGCATCAAACTTTATTTGTAACATTATTACCTTTTTATCCGCATGTACAAACAAATACGTACCGTAACTCCGAAAGTTATGTCAAAGTTCCTCAAATTCAATAGCCGAGATTGTTTATGGCGTTGTACAGAATTCTTTATTTATGTGTCCGAAACAGAAATTCTAGGTGTTATGACCGATTTCCGAAATCGAACAATTATTGGTTGTTTAAAAAAAAATAAAAAGTGTTATCCATACCCCATTTTTGTTTTTCGTACCCCACTTAAAATTAAACATTCTTTAAAAACTTTGATCCAAGGTGAGCCAAGACATCTTGACAGCCAGCTAACCAAATTAAATGAAATTTTTTCGTAGAACCAAGATATACGTGTTTGTTAATATTAAGTGGATTTACTTTAAATAGGTAGAGTTAGAGTATGGGTTGACATATGACGAATTTTACCTTAAAAAAAATTCCGAATCTGCCTAAATTACGTTTTGCATTACGACATATATATGTAAAATATCTATGTGTAAAAAAAGTTTATCGAATTTGGTTTAGCTGATTGTCGAGATATCTTTGCTCAATCAAAGTTCAAGAAATTTTTTGAAGTTTTTGAGAGAAGATATCTCGATCCTAATCAAATTCGATGAATTTTTGATTCAATTACAATATTATCTGTAGTATCTAAATAAAAAAGTCATCGAATTTGGTTAACAAAATTTATTTATTTGATCTTTCAAACATATAAAATCAAAAAAAAAAAAAAAAAAAAAAAAAAAGTTTTAAAAGAAATTAAATTTTAGGGGGGGATGAATAACAAAATTGGGGTATGAATAACAACCGCCTAACTATCGTTATAAAAAAAGGACTCCTGCTTTGGTACTGAGCTATTTATTATCTAAATTTGTTAATAAACTAAAAAGATTGATATGCATCATGTGTCACTATTTAGATATTGCACGAAGTTTCCCATGTAAATGAATCGGATGATAATATTGTGAACAGATCGATTCTTTTTTTTTTTATATTTAGTAAAATAAATAACTTTATTTTTCTTATAAAAAGCATCGTTCACCCACCATTCGTGTCAAGAAATTCACCATAAACACCTTTAATAAACAAAAAAAAAAAATTTTTAACGAATAAACAAATTTTAGTAAAGTAAGATGGCTGGTCTAATTACTTTCAGGTTTATAAAAAATGATTTCCTTGCTGCTGTTGCAGAATTTTTAGGAACTGCTTATTTTTTGTTTATGGGTAATTATTGTTACGAGAATGTTGATTTTGCACGTCTCTTTCGACTTAATTTGCTAATCTTTTTTTTTTTTATGTAGGTGTTGGAGGTGCCTTGGCTTTTGGTACTTCTGAAATGTGTGTATTTATTGATTTATTTATATAACATTTTTTATTACTATAGAAAGTTTTTTATATATATATATTTTTTTTTTGTAGTGGTAATGTTGGAATTCCGTTTTCTTTCGGATGGTCGCTCATGGTGAATGTCTTCCTCTGGAGTCCAATTTCAGGAGGTGTATTCAATCCTGCTATAACTGTTGGCTTGATGGTCACTCGTCACTTACCAATTGTACGGGGTATACTATATATCATCGCTCAATTCTTGGGTGCCCTTTTTGGATCACTCCTTATCAAAGCTCTAGTACCTGCTCCTGCTAACGGTCCCACCGTATTGGTACATAATTTTTTTTTTTTTTTGTAAAAACATTTAATTAATTCTATCTTGCTCTTTTAGAGTGTCAATACTTCTGTTGCTCAAGGTTTCTTTTTGGAAATGTTCGCTACATCTGTCTTAACTTTCGCGGTACTTTTTATTGCCGCTGGAAAAATACCTAAAGATGATGGGGAAAAAAAGGATAAAAAGAAGGGCGAATTCATGGCTCCATTTGTAATTGGTATTTCCTTATTCATTTCAGCACTTTCCGGTAAGTACCACGCTTCGCGTTTGTTTCGCTACATGCTCATCTCTAACTTCCTTTTATCTTTTTATGTTGTTTACAGTTGGCCCATTTACCGGCGCTAGGTATATATACACTAAATATATACGCTAATGATTTAACAATTATAATTATATTTTTAATTTAACTGTTTTTTTTTTTTTTCTTCAAATAGTTTGAACCCAGCACGAACCTTTGGTCCTGCTGTAGTCTTTGGAAACTACGGTAACGGTCATTGGATTTATTATATTGGTACCACTGCGGGTAGTTTATTGGCTGCTGGATATTGGTACTTTTATACGGTAGTGTTTGACTATGAAGTAATATCGGTAAGTTATTCAAGTTGATTTGCAGGTGTTGTGTAATAATTTTATTAATTATTCAACTATTTTTGTAATAGGGAGCCAACATTGAAAAGGATGAATATGACGTCGATCCATCTAAAGGTGACATTGAATCCCGATAATCCGCTCTAAAAGTGACGTTAAATTCCGCTCCTAAAAGTGACATGGAGCCGGAATATACAAATGAAAAAAAAAAACTCCATAATGTTATATTTTTATCTTTAATTAATCTCTGTATAAAATATCAAAATCAACACCTTGTACTATAATTGCAATTACTTGTTGGAACTTGTGAAAATTGATATACGTACATAAATCCATATATGCATAAATACATATATGATTAATTGTAAAATTTATTCACAATATTTGAACATTTCAAAGATACATAAGATGAATATAAAAAAACGCATCGTAATTCATCAATAAAATTTTATATATTTTAATTAATAAAATTGCTATTTGCAACAATGTAAAATTGTTCTTATCCTTCATCCCTTAATTAGCATTAGAAGATTATTATAAAACCATAACAATAATGTCTATACCAATAAATCTTCGATATGAAAATATGCTAAAATATGCCATACGTATGTCCAATTATGGATAAAAAATAACTATATATACACAAATATTTACGTTGATCATCACTTTAAACGCGTTTTCTATTTTTACATGTCAATGCTAAAATCATGAAATTTCTATTCGGAGTTCACTTCTTCTATTTTCGTACGTAATATCAAATATCCTTAAATAACTATTCATTTATCTCATTTATCTAAAAATTTTGATATAATTTTCTGGGGTTTTTAAGTTTATTTACGTAACTATTGTATCTCAATTCGGAATTTCTCTCTTAAATCACATAAAACACGCTGATAAAATATTTATCATGATTAAGTAATTAAACTTCCGATAAAAAGTCTTATGATCATGTTATTTCGGGATAGCCGAATTCTAAAAATACAAATTCTATTTTACATTACTTCAAAAAATTTCCGCACAATAGACGATTATTGACAAAGAAATCGCAAAGGCGCATACACATGTGCAGTATGTATGTATGTACGTACGTGCGTACGTATGGTACATAATTACGTTTTCATATGAATATATTCATTTCTTTGTGAATTATTTTTACAAATAAGCATTTTCAAAAATGGCATTACATTCACCGATCACGTGAATAATTTTCACTGGCTTCCCCATCATCCATTTATTTGGTTATTGTTTTCTAAAAAAAAAAATCAAAAAAAAATCGTTGATTATGCGAAAATAGTTTAACAAGGTTCCACATTTTTGTAATAATTATATATTCGATATGATGTTAACTTAAACCATAACAATAACAATAAAACGTTTGCTTGTTTATAATAATAAAAGGTTTAAAACTAATGATGCATAATTGTAATCGATATGTGTTGCAAACTCTTACATATAGATATGTCCCGTCATCATCTTATCTTTTGTTGTATGGTTCTTCTGTTTTTAGTATTAGTGTTATCGTTAAAATATTAAAATCAGAATCAGGGTCAGTTTATATTAGGGTGAGAACAATACTTACAAGTAAAATCGCGACTAAAATCATATACATGGCTTACAAAAAAAAAAAAAAAAAAACGCCAAAACCAAAAATACAAAAAAAAAAAACCCCAGCCATCTAAGTACACTAACAAAAAGTCGGGGCTAAGCAGCGGCTAGCTAAACGACCTACTATTTCATGTTTAAGAATTTAATATTCATGAATCATGTGATCTTTAGCCGCGTCAACCAATTGACCATATATTCGGCTAGCTCAGCCAACTAAGCCGGCTTACAACCCGTTGTTCGCTGTATATAGTACCTGTAGCTTATCGTTATTCAATTTGAATAGCACCCGTGGGTACGTAATAGTTATGTCTGGGTGTCCGGGTATAAGACCCGTGTATATACCCTGCGATCTTGATATAGTGACAAGGTATATTTTGTGAGAAATATAGCTATACCTTCGAGTATTCAAAAGGGTGGTGAATATTAATGGGGTATTATTTTCGGGGAATGCTGTACGGCCAGCGGAAATTTTCTCAATTTAGCTTTTCACAATTTTACGAATTTCAAATCATCGTAGAAAATGTCTGATACTTGGCGAACTTCCAAAATTAGATTTAGGACTGTGTAACACAATGCTACATCGCTCGCTCGCTCAAGAAATTTTTTACTTGAATACGTAACTATTGTAAGCAAAAAAATAAAAAATCAAATTGCTAAAATAAAATATATATCATTTTATACATACGCCCGTACGTACGTACGTATGTACTTAGTAGTATTAACAATATCTGATTTTTTAAATGAGATTGTAACCATATCAATATAGTATACGATTTACTTTTTTAGTTAATATATACCTTTTTTATTTATCACTTTGATCCTTCATGAATTTGAGTCCAAACCCCTTCTAAAAACAAACGTACCTAATTTTTGCCCCCCTTTTTTTTTTTTTTTTTTACTTCACTGGTTAGCTTTAATATCTTCTAAATTTTTTTAATATATACTGTAGAACCAAGATTATTAAAAAAAAAAAAAAAAACTTGTATACTAGTTTATTTTTTGCGCGTAATAATCCTGCGCTTTCTGCGCATTATTTTGAAACAAGAATAAGATTTTTTTTCGAAATCTCGTAACACGTGGGTGTTATTTATAATAACTAAATTAGCAACAGAGTTTTAAACTCAAACTATTAGAAACCACGGGTTGTCTCTCATCAAGGGGTGTTACAAACGTAAAACAACTATGCCTTCCGCTTTCATCAGTATCGAATGGACAGCTACTTGACGGGTAGGGTGAAAAAACCCGGATTTTGTCTGGAAAAGGCCGCTTATTACTATGTAAGCCAAAAACTAGGCTAATGCTTTGTACTCAAATACGAGAAAATTCCTTCGTGCCTGTCATCCCGACAGGCCACTTCCACTTCAAAATCTCAAATTATGACCTTCTTCCGAGAGGCCATAATTTCTCTAAAACAAATAAGCAATGACTGTCGTCCCGATAGGTCATCAAAAATCATAGCTTCTAAGCAGACTGCCAAATCAAATTGCTAGGGTGGGACGAAAAAACGACAAAAATCTGGTTAGCAGAAAAAAACATAATTTATCTGGGAAAAAACCCGTTCCCCTTAAATATTACTTGCATATCCCAAATATTACGTCATTACATCACTAACGAAGCGAAAATCATACGATAAAATCGCGACAATGTATCAACCGATCAATTAACGCTGCTCAGACACCTTCGTAATTAAGTTACACAAATGGGTGCGCGTTATTTCGGGACTAATTTTTTGAAAAAAGCAAAATTTCTAATTAACGCCCCGGTCCGCTATTACAAACGAATACGGTAAACTATAAACAGGGTGAGTCAAACCAATGCTCCCGAAAGGTCATTCGAGTTGAGTTTAGAGTCGACTCCAAACTCAACCCGAGTAATGTTTGATATTATTAATTTGCATTTTATATACAGTATTATATTTATACAGTCAGACCTCTCTAAGTGCACACCCTTTCTAAATGCATGCTCAAATGCTGGCCCAAATATATGTTTGATGTACTTTTTCTTATTATTCTCTAAATGCACATTATTAAAGTTTGGTCCCAAGGGCGTACACTTTGAGAGTCTGACTGTAGCTCTATTATTATAAATAAAGTTAATAAAATTAAGTATAGACTGGTGCAAAAATATATATAGCTAAAAATTAATTTGTTTACACATATATATAAATATATATGATAAGGTGAAGCTTTATAATAGAGATACAGTATACAATTGTTGCATTTGTCATATAATTTTTTTTAAACCTTGCACAGGTTATAATAGTACATTCGGTTCATATAGAGAGGTGAAATCTCTCTGTTTTTATATCCTATTTCTATAAAATGTCTTTGTTTTTTATTTTTGTTTTTTTTTTTGTTTTTTTTTTTAGTTTTATATATTGTCCATTTTCTTTTTATTCTTCTTTTTTTTACTCTTTTCAATTATAACTTGTTTCTTATTTTATAGAATTTTGTTGAGATAATTCTAGTTTATCTGTAAATTGGTAAAACAAGTTGCTCTTGGGTAGCCAAGTGGAGTTGGGCTTGTTAATCTTTAAAATTCTTCAGAATTAATGTATTTATTTTATATAAATTACAATAAAAAAGGCAAGTTATAGTCAGACCTATAAACAAAAAAAAAAACAAAAAAAATTTCACACTTTTCAAATAACAGCTATACAAACTCTAAAAAAACTTTTAATTAAAAATATATCTATGAAATTTATAATTAATTATTTTATTAAAGTTCCTTTTTTTATATTCTTTTTATTTTTATTACTATTACATAGTACTATTTCTTAAAACTAATATATAGTATTATATTAAATCCTAAAAAATTAAATGTACAACTTTTTTATTCAACTATCAAATAACTTTTTTGAATGGTTTCTAAAAAAACTTTAGATTCCAAAAAATAAGCTTCAACATAGCTAGAAATTTGCTTAAAAAATTAACTTCAAAACAAAAAAAACAAAAATTACTATTTTGAAATACAACTAATAACTTCTAAATATTCTCCAAAAACCAAATTATAATATTAACTTTTTTATTTAAAAATAGTTTTTCAAAACTATAATCTACTTTTATATTTTAATTAAAAATATTTTCTTTTCAAACTACTTAAATTCAAACTCAATAAAATAAACTAATTTCTTACAATATTCTATTAGATATTACTATTTTCTTTGTTAACAACTTCTTTTCTTATATAAAATAAACTTAATAATCTAAGTCTATATATAAATCTAGATTTTTCACCTATTAAATAACTTTTTCTTGCTCTTATTCAAAAGTTTGTCTTTATTCTATATCTTGTAATAAACTTTTAAATCTTGTAATTTTTTTTTAAATCTCTTCTTTTATTTTTTAATTTACAAAGCACAACTTTTACTATTAAATACAATTATTATTTATTTTAACAAACACCAAATATATTATTACAAGTAGATTATAGCCTTTTTAGTAATATAGCACTTGCAACATAGTATACAATGATAAGGATCTTTAAAATAACAAAGTAAAATATAAAGCAGTATAAAAGTAAAATATTATTTCACTAGAATGATTTTTGGTATAGTTTATTTAAAAGTAAAAATATATGTTTATTTAAGATATATTATTTATAGTACAATACTAAGATATAAGGCTATCTATAGATATCTATACTTAAAAAATCCTAATAACTAAATATTGTAGCGAACAAATTCTAAAGTTCCAGGAAGAAGAAAAGCTAAAGTTTATATAGCTTTTACAACTAGTATAAAACATATTGTAACCAAAATATTCAGTTATAGGATGGGTTTAGGTTTTTGTTAGAAGAGATACAAAATAAAAAGGTGTTTTATTATATAGCTATTTAGAACATGATAGTGGATCATATCTTTACCAAAGAGCTTTTACAGATTCTTTTATAATCTTTTAATAATTCTAACTATTCTAAATATAATCTCTAGAACTCTTTTTGACAATCACCTATACCATTTTCTCTGCTAAAAGAAAAATGTTAAAACTGGTAGAGAGTTGAGTAGCTATAGTAACGGTTTGTAGTAAAGGTCAATGTTTTCTAGGGACTCCTTACTATTTATTCGGCATGCAAGCCAAAAAGCCTTGTTAAAAGGAAAATGCAGGTGGCACTTTTGGCCAGAAAAAATTTTAGTAGACAAAATCTCCATTGACAAAGTTCTATAGTCTACAGTTTCAAGAGGTTTATAATAGTGGTTTTTAGAGGCAAACAAAGTGTTAACCTTCTCTCGGAGACTTCTCTCTATATTCAACATGCAAGCCAGTAGCAAACTATACAAAGGAGAAAAGGCAGGTGGTGCTTCTAGATGTGGTAAATTTTGTTTTCTTTCATTGACAAAATTATTAGAACTTTTTTGAGACCCAGGAGTATATTAGTTTTTTCAGTTTTCAACACTTTCTCTCAAGGTTTTGGACTTCCTGCACTTATTTTTATCCTGTTGTCATTTTTACTAACTTTTTTCAAAAAAATGTGGGGATTTGGCTACTTCTCTCCAAATGATCGATATTGTTTACCACTTCTATTTTTAGAAGTTGTTGTTGCGATGTGGCATATTAAAGAAACAACAAACACATGCTTTGCATGTGTAGAGTTGGGGCATAGAGGCATAAGCATGCCCCTAGGGCATGCCAAAAGACAAAAGGCATGTCAAATCACATGATATAGACAATTAAAATCATTGGCTAAAGTTAAATATCATTTAGCAAAATTATACAACTTACTCTTCATATAATGAAATTCTTAGGCTAATTATAGCTTATATCAAGAGAATATATATACAATTTACTCTTGATATAGTAAACACTTATTCTAGTAAAAAGTTAATATAGTAAAGATTTTTGAATTCTAGAATTATTTAATTTCAACTTGATATGTAAATAAACTATAGTGAAGATTTTTTTTTTTAGCTAGGACTTCACTATAACAATAATAAGTTGTACTTTACTATATTAAGTTGAAGTTTAAAATTTCTGAAATTCAAAATTTCTTACATCAAGTAAGTTGTATATAACCACTTTATATAAAATAATTTAAATATATATATATAAAATCTTTCAAATAATTACTCTTACTGTATAGTTAAGTGATATATATTTTGGATGCAATTGTATTTAAATTGGTCAGTTATAGATTCTTTATAATAGTTTTAAACAATTTTTGATTGATTAATAGTTTGTCATGTGACTTTCTAAGGCATGCCCATTAAGGCATGCTGATTTTTTTATCTGTGCCCCCAACCCTAAGCATGTGGCAATTTCTATTATTGGATTTAATTCGTAAAAGGGTTTTTAGTTTGTTTTAGGTGCTTTTATTAGTATCATGTGAGATATACGTTATCCCGAAGTCACATGTATAATATTTTTTTAACCTGGTACAGATTATAATAGTGCTTTTGCCATTTTTGTTTCTTCTTTTTTTATCTTGTCTTTTTTTTCTTTTTAGAGTTTTAGTGTAGTTTTTTTTATAATATTCGCTTTGGTATTTCCCCTTTTGGTTTTAAACTTCCCTTTTTTTTTCTTTGATCTTGAAGTTTTTTCATTGAGTAGTTAGGAGTTTTTCTTTCTGCTCGGGAAGTTAGAAGGAGAAGATTTAGGCTTTAAAAAGAGGAGGCAATTTTGATAGCCATAAATGCTGCTCAGTAATATATTAGACTTTTTCATTTGTAGGAGAGTTTAGTATAGAGAGAAAATTTTACTATAGCAGATCACATATAGGTAATTTGGACTTTTGTCTCGTCACAAAGAGCTGGGTGGGTCAATACTTGTAATTTAGAAGTAACATGTTTAGCCTAGTGTTAAAGTTAGCTTACTCATAAAATAGATATGAAATAGATATGTAAGATTTATATCTAATAAAGTATTGGCAAGGTTGCCAAAGTTAAAAAAAATATATATATATAATCTCTAAACTGTTTACTGGCCCTGTTATGCAAAATAATTTTATGCATAATGATCATATGTGTAATGATTTATATATACCGAATTTATGCATAACAAAAAATAAATAGTAAGATAAGTATAGGTATTATAGTGTAGTTAAATGTGTCAATAGAAAAACTTAATTAAATTAACTTAAATATTTATTAAATTTTACCAAAATAGGTATATTTTAACTCGAATTAAACTTTTTTAATTAAAAAATTTTTTCTAAATATACAAAATTTCTTCCAGAATTCAAAATCATCAAGATAATAACCAAAAATGGTACAAAATATATAATAAGGTAGTACTGCCTTTTTTTTTACATCTTTTTTTTCCAATCTGCTTTTCTTCTCTAATACATTGTTGTTCCATTTTTATATGTTCTTTTTCTTCTTTTTTTTTGTCTACGAATTTCTTGCTTTTGCGTTTTTTGATCTTCTATGCTATTTGTTGTTGGGTAGCTGCTTCTTTTTTTTTGCTTTTTTTTTGTTTGCTACTCTTTCTGCTTCTTCCTCTGCTTTTCTCAACAAATGCAAAGACTCTTCACTAGTAAGAAGTTGAGAAAAAAGCATGGTCTTTTAGTTTTTTTTTTTGGCTACTGGTTCTCAGACTGTCCTTTAACTGCCTCTGATTCTTCAATTTGCTTTAAATGATAGTGCAAAGAGTACTTAAGTACTAACTGCAAAGAACTAGTACTGGGATTCTTATAAAGTTCCAACTCTGATTCTAAGTATTTAACTCTATTATTAAGCGATTCTATTTCTGACTATAATTCATCATTTGTAGAAGTTAAACTAGATAACTTGGAACAAAACTAAAGAAAGAGAAAGCTAGTGTAATAGGTGGGTCAGAACTTTGTAAATTGAATCTATGTGTTGGTAATGAAAACTTTAAACGACTAGGATTAATAGCATTGGGATTGAAAAGCCATATTCCTATTGTCTTGAAAGAATTATATATTGCAATAGAGTAAATACCTTAATATAGACTTGTTCAAGGATTTTAGCAAAGGTATATTTTGTTACTAATTTGCCACCTCTATTAGTGTGATACTTGTCACATTTAATACTATATGCTTGTTTAAGATAAGCAAAGGGTAACTTAGCTAGTTGTAGAATATAGATGATATGTAGTAGAAGGGCATAAAGTAGAATGTTATTTTTGTAGCAGAAATTAACACAAGTATAATTAATATGGCTCTTGTGTTTATCAAGAATGAGTAAAATAGAACAAGCAAGAGGAATAGATCTAATGAAATGCTCTATATATTTTTTAAATAGGCTCATCCACATATATCTTGTGTCAGTAAACCTCATAATAGTGCCAGCAGATACACCATCTAAAAGACCTGTAATTATTCACTTGCCTTTGTATATTATTAATAGTAGTATGTATACTCTGGTAGCTGATATAGTTGGATATATAAAGATGTGTTTATGATTACTACTATATGAAACATGATAAATTTGGTGAGCTTTTTTTTTGCAATTACTTTTTGTAGTTGAGATTCAATAACAAAATCTGTCTTATACAAATAAAAGACAACATAATAAAAGAGTAATATGTAAAAGAGTGACAAAATAAAATGGTGATATAATGATTTGGTCATTAGAAAAAAAAAACCACAAAAAAAAAACAAAAAAAAATTAAGAAAAAAGAAAAAAGATAATGAACAAAAAAAAAAAGACCTGTCTCATTCATGTTTCAGATTCGATTGGAGGTAAGTGAATATTTATTATAGTTGATATTGTCTAAATGCATACTGTATACTGTCTAAATGCATAATTTTTTAAAGAAATTTATTAGTAATATGCATTTCGACAATTGATTTTCTGGTATTTAATTGATTAATACTATATAAATATATAAAATTGATTTTTTTTTGCCTTTCTTGATAGTATGCATTTAGACAGTATCAACTATAATAATTTTTTTAAGTTTGTTAAAATAGTCACTGATCATAATAAGATTTGCTTTTTAGGCATGCACTTTATTTAGAGCTTGCGAGATACGAAATAAAAGTTCAGAATAGTCTCTTAGGAACCGATTTCACTATAATTGATCTGGTTCACTCTCATTAAAAGGATGTAAATGTTTATTTTTATTAACAATCTTTAATACACAATAGTTTACACCAGACTTTAATAATCCAAAACCAAGTCTCTGTATATTTAAGCAGTAATCGACTAATTGCTCTTCTTCATAGTTGGTTAAAATTTTGGTTGGGCCAGAACAGTTAAAAGAACTATTATTTAGAATAGCATATTGAAGTGTTGATTCCGGAATACCAAAGTCTTGTGCAATACTTCTTTTACTTAGAGGCTTAGAGCTATCTGAGGAGTCTTTAATAAATTTAAAAGCTTCTTCAATAATGCTATCTCGAGTAGCTTTATCTTTTTTAAATATAATTTAAAGTTTTTTATTTTATTCTTTTGTAAATTTTAATACAGTAATAAATTTTAGTCATATGACAAAGTAGACCATAGTTAAAAGCAGTTCAAAACATTTGCCACTTCTATATATTTATAAACTGATTGTATATTATATCCAATCATGTAACTCAAAATATATTTATTGTTATACTATTATAATGATAAAAACAGTTATCATGTTTATACTTATTTAGTTACATCTAATTGTGTAATACAAAATATTTAATTGCTAATAAATAGCACAAATACATCTCAAACTCACTTTAATTTGAATTATGAGTATATTTATAATACATAACACTTTGTCTGGTTTTCTAATAAATGAGGTGAGTTAGTAGAAATGAGACAAATTTATTTAATAAATTTGTTCTATTTCTACTGACTTAACCCAAATATAAAATTGTAAAGCTACATAGTAATTGTTTTAAAAAGTTATTTTATAAATACATAATTCTCTTCAAAAAATATTATTATTAACTAATATTACTTTTGTGGCAATATTTCATGACCTAATAATCAAAATTGTACAATTTTGGCACCAATCGATTCATCTTACCAAGACAGATTGATTGGTATTAAAATCATATAATTTTGATCATTAGGTTACAAGTTATCATAACTGTGCCATAATTGGTAGTGTGCTATAATACCCATATCTACCTTATAATATTTGTAAATAAATAAACAAAAAAATCTATACTAAGAAAAATAACTTAGTAGTAGCTGCAAAAATACTACTCTGTTACACTTCTTTCTTCTTCAAAATATAAGGTTTTTTGAGCATAATTAACTAGTAATTATAAAATTCTAAACTAAACTTCTATATATATATATAAAAAAATTTAATTCTATTTAGAGGTTTTAGGTTTTTTGGTATACTTGTAACCAGAACTCTAAACTAAAATTCTATATAAAAACTAACTTAATTCAGAGGTTTTTATATCTAGAATAACTCATAACCAAAAACTTGAAGGTTTTATACAAGATAATCTCACAATCAAAAACTTAGGGGTTTTATACAAGATAATTTCACAACCAAAAACTTTATCCTTGGCTAACTTATAGCCAAAATTCATCCATGGCTAACCTATAGTCAAACTATCTATAGCTATTCTCACCATAGCCAAAATTCTATTTATGGCTAACTCATAGCCAACATGCATAGGTCTTATTCCTTACCAAACTAGACTTTATCATTACACTTTACAAATACATTTATACTTAAAAAAAACAACTTGTCAAAAACTAAAAAAAAATAAACTGTTCAAAATAACAACTAAAGAAAAAAAATAAAAATTAATAGTTAGCATTTCACTTTTTGTACTACCGGTAATACAGTTAAAAAAATACATTAAAAATCTAAAAAATTATAAATTTAAATAATTTTTATATACAAAAATCTGATAAATATACCAGAATAGATTAGTTGTATTTTTTT